TCTAAACTATGCGACCAAGATTCGACAGGACATCCAAAAATACAGAGAATCACAGTGTAAACTTTTTGGACAGATATTTGGACACCATCTATCTGCTTCATGGGAAAATGATATAACATATTAGAACCAGCTTTTTCTAGGAAGGCCACATGAATGCCTTGGAGAAACATCCAAATATCCATGAACAATGCCAGAAAGCCAGCAACTTCATGAAAACCTTTGGAATGAATTGACGAAAAAAATGAGAATTGATAAAATGGACATGGACAAACCAAGACCAAATAATTCAGATAACTAGACTTCTAAATATATGTACCTAAATAATAGTGTTTTCTAGGACTTTAAAGATCCATATGACTATGAAACACAGCCATATGATTTTGATCCAACAGATCCAGATAAGCTTGAAAAATTGGAAGAAAAACTTTTTGAAGGAAAATTTGATATTAAAAATTGGTCTTGGTGGAAATAACATGGACTCCTCTCTGATTCCAATGACTTAGACATACTTGGATGAGCAGCAAACCTTGGAACACCTTGATGACTCAGCTCACATGAAGCAAGTTAGAAAACCCTTTGTCATTTGTAATGAATACTCTTTTAAAAGCAGATTCCTTACTTTTTAAAAGGTGTTTGTCGTCATATAAAATTATTACTTGTATCAGACTATTATCCTATTTTATCAAAAATAGTGATAGTTATTTGTCTTTTGGTATAATTATTGCCTTTATGTCAATTATCTTATCTTACTTTATTAAAAGTAGTGATGAGTTATTTGTCATGTTCTAAAATTATTGTACTTGTGTGTCAATTGTTTTATTGTGCATGAAGGATCCTCTCTTCCATATAAAGGGTCATCTCCCTTCGTTGTAAGATATCTCAAGCCAGCTCTTTATCAAATAAAAAGCTTGTTTCTTATCTCTATTAGTTTTCTAAAAGCTTTTTCTTGTTCTTCCAGAGTCTTGATAACTGCAATAATACCAAGATGAATAATAAGAGCAAGATCTAAGTAGTATCAAAGTATGCTCTGCAGTTGCCTCTTTAAGGATCCTCTACATCAGAAAAATGGCACTACTGATTATAAGATCCGATATGGAGGTTTAATAATTTTTGTAATACCAAAAGCCAGGCCCTGTGTTGTTGCCCAAGAGGGTTTGTTGCGGGTTAGAATACCTTGTATCACATAAGGTCATCTAACCTCCACTTTATTGATATAAGAGTCACCTTCAAAATCCCAAATTAAAGAATACATCCGAGTATCAAAGTTTGATCAACATCTTTTACCTACCGCTGGAAAAGAATAGTTTGTCACTTTGGATCTACCATCCCATCTTCCAAAACATAGTTATCTAAAGGTTTTACCTATATTCATTTTGGAACTGTAAGAATTGCATTTACTCTCCATGGAAGAAAGGGACTTCTGGCTGTTTCTATAGTTGCCTTACTAGATACACATTTTGCTGATTATCAACACGCATATATGGGCACTATTGAAACTACATTCAATATAGAATGGTACTTGTTTCTATGTTTTCAAAATTTAACATGACAATAGCAAATCCATTGTTATTATCACCATTGAAAATCCAGGTTCAAATTGTTGGTGCAGTTCCAACAGCAGTCACATATGGAGCAACTATTCACTACCAAATGGCTTACAGAATTCAAAATTATTCTCTTGATTTGGCTACTCCTCATGGTATATATGATGCTTTATTCATCCAAATGGGAATAAACTAGCCAAGCTGTGTATATGTTCCTGGACAAATTCCCAGATTGGAACTCATTAAGTTAATTCCACAAACGTGGATTTCTAGTTATGAGTAGTATCACCAGGCGTCAAAGGATTCTTTGCCAATCCAGACATCAATTCATCATTTTAGAAAAAAGTCAAATGGTGAAGTTGAAATTATATTTCAAAAGGAAACTCCAGCCAAAAGGCTCCCCTGTTTTCCTACACAATTTGCCTCCTCAAATAAATAAATTCCTACTTATGAATTTGATGCAAATGGTAGACCTATTTATTGCAAATCTGAAGATTTAGGACACATTTATTGGGATGTATGTTTTAGTGCAAGATGTATGGAGAATGAAAAAGTTTTATTTGAAGATAAACCTCTTAAGAAGAAGAAGAATAAGAGTAGCTAGCAAAGGTTGCGTCAAGCTTATAAAAACAAATCTGCAGAAATTGATTTGTTGCAGGAACTTTCTGAAAAATTTAACTATTATATCAAATATACTCCCCCTACAAATGATGAACCCAATAAAGGGACAATCACTGACAACTACTTCATTGGGAGAACTCTATAATTGGGTTAAACAAATCTTGAGAATACTCTGTAATCAAATAGAGTTTTAAAAGGACATCAGTACACCAAGCCAAAAGCTTGAAAAGGCATATGATTATGAAATTAAGAAGAAAATGATTGAAGTGAAAGAATAGTGGGGGAATTTTTGTTATTTTGTGACAATCATCATCTTATATGGAATTTTATGACAATAATTTCATGGCGATGAAGAAATTAACCATTATTGATATCATCGTCATTATATTTTATCAACACCACACCAACAAAAATAATATAACTCACTCAAATCGTCAATTTTGTTGGGACTCATGTAGGGATGTCAAAAAGGCTCGCCGACTCAGGCGGCTCGTTGCTTGGCTCGAAAAAAGTTCGAGCCGGCTCGGCTCGAAGAAACCGAGCCAAGGCTCGGGCCTGCTCATGAGCCAAATAGGCTAGCCCGTGACAAGTAATAAAACAAAATAATTATTTTTTTTTTTATCAAAATACAAAAAATTACATATAGCCTCAGCTATACGTAAGCTGCCTGTCAAAGGCAACAGTCACATTTGCCTTGAAGGAAAACTCTCCTTGCACAGCACCTTGTGCACAGGGTGTGCATGTGGGGTCCACCCCCATGTCTCACACCCTGTGCACAGGGTGCTGTGCAAATAGCACAGCCCTGCCTTGAATCAAGCAAAGGCAGCAGTCAAACGTGATTGCTGCCTGTCAAGCTTCCTTGAATCAGGCAGCTATATTAGCTACCTGTCAAGGCAATAGCCTATATGACAGGCAGCTAATATAGCTGCCTATTAAGGAAATTAATATAGTTGCCTCTCATGTCAATAACATATGCCGAAAATTTACAACACAATAATGGTGTTCAAACTTTTTGAATTTTAAATGTGAAATTTAAATTTGGTTAAGTTGAATATTTTTTGCTATAAATATGGAGGTAAAATTTTGAATTTTCTATCAGTTTTCTTTAATCATTTTTTAATTTCTTTTTTTCTAACTTCTAATATTCAATTCTTTAATCTAATATTTATTATCTTTTATTATAATAGTTATAAATGAATTTTTTAAGCTGAAAAAAATATGAGGATTGTAAGTTGTAACTTTTATTTAATTTATAATTCTTATAAGTTGCACGATTTTTAAATTCTTTAAAAAATGTTAGATTTGTCACCAATTCATAATAATAATAATTAAAAAAAACCAGAGCCTAATTTTTTTGGGCAAGCTTTTGCTCTGCTCGGCTCGGGCCCGTAAAAAGCTCGCCCCATTTTACTCGAGCCGAGCTCGAGCCTCAAGTTTCGATTCGACTTGTTTACATCCCTAGATTCATGAATCTAACTAATGAATTTTTAGCCAACTCTGTCAGACATCTTCGGTGGGTCCCGTACATAACTAAAAGCATTAATGAAGTGGTAACTAATCATTGCCGTAAAGAGATTATAACAATATATTAAACCCCCGTTTGGTCCTCATTTTCTAGGAATGAAAATGGGTGGAATAGTATTTTTTTTTTTAATGGATGGTTGAAAAAGAAGGAAAAATTTTCGATTTACGTATAATATTATTTTATGAAAGATTGTATGATTGAAAATAGGAGAGAGAAAAATAGAATGTAATTTAATGGGGGCCAAACAGGAGCAAAGTTGGCTAAATGGATAATCGGGTGAATTGAAATAGAACCATGTTACACTCACATAAAAAATTTCAAATGATTTTTTCACAGATAGACACATCAGAATTTCACTTATTTTAATCAAATCAAACAAAAAAAAAAAATACACCATAAAAATGTTGACAACTCAGCACCTGTATGGTGCCTGTGAACTTCATTGAAATAAGTCTTTAGAAGTACTCACGTTGAAAAGCTTTTAAAAAAGATACTATGCATCTTTAAGTAGTAATGAACCTCACATTAAGACTTGAAACAAACTTTGACTAGCCATTGGGCCAAACTTACACTTTGCATGCCCACATTGTTGCCGAATTCCACGTTCACATCTAAATAATTCGTGTATAAAAGAATCGCCAATTTAGACGAGACACAGGTTTTTCGAAATTGAAACTCTGTGTATCTTTATAAACAGCAATGCAAGGGGCGAAATTTTTCTTAAGGAAATTACCCAAATTTTAATTGGTTCAAAGTCTAAAGCCAAAGAAAGTTCACCTAAACAGACTTTGAACATTGATGCTCCCTTTAATTTATGTTGATATAATGCGTATAACAAAACTTGAGGATTAACGGACAAACTGTTATAAAATGAATAGTTTAACAGCCTACAAATTTCACGTTAATTCCATCAAATTCACAAGTGCAACATGAGGATGACAAAATTCTCAACCACGCATTGCCCCCATCAACAGTAAACGGGACTGGGATGGGAAGCACGGTCCTCACTCCAAATCATTTTTATTTTTATGTTGCTCAATTTAAACTGTATTTAAAAAATTAAAAAGTAATATCAAAACATATATAATAAAAAAATATGAGGTGGTAAATGGGGAGTTTTAATTCCCACGCCGAAAATTCCCGTTGAAGTGGGGATGATAACGGCTGCCCCGATCCCAACCCCGTCTAGTTGCCATCCCCCAGTGCAACATCTATTTGATGTATATATGTATAAACATCTTGCGCAAAATAAGACTAGCATGTTTGACATGGCAAAATCATTAGCACAACTCTATAATTCAAGAAGAAAAAGAGCTAAATTTTGGCCACTTATATCATCCATTACGGTAGAATAATAGTTCATACCAAACATGTAATATATGTACACTGGATTATTTACATCATGCAGTCCTATGTTTACAAAAATGGACATTGTATTTTAGATTGCTCAAACTGAAAAAATTTATGATGTTATTGTTAAATTCCTATCTCTTCCTATTGTTAAATGATGCACAATTTTAAGCAGCCATTTGTTTCGATTATGAGTTTTCTTCAACTCCAACGTTTTCTATCTTCAAGTATTTTGTTCTGTGATATTCACAATAGCTATAGCAGTTCGGTTAAAAAACCGTGCAGTAAAGCCATTAGCAGCAAAGAGAACAGAACCATTGGGACATTGAGAATGCAACCTCGGGATAGAGAGTGAGCACCGACTAGATGTACTGACCCAGTAAGTTCGTCCTTCACCTTAATACTTGACGAGCCTGGAGACAACAAGAAATTTAGACCGTAAAATGTTTAGATTTATCACAATATTCATCCACAAGGTTTTGTGCTGAAACTTGGAGGTCTAAGCATTGCATTTGTGCGGGATATACAAATATATTACTACCACAAAACTTGTCTAACTTGAAGTGGGAAGCGTTGAGAACATCGACATGATGTGTATCATTTTTTCTGTTTGAACCTAAAGATTAAAACAGACAATCTACTCCAATTTGCCTAGAATTTAGGATTTTCAAGTCAATACAAATAATTTGCAACACAGTTCCTGAAATCATAGCTTTAATGTAGAAATTTTAATTAGTTAACAGGCATAACACATTGGTCAAGGGGTCCATGTTACAATGTAATAATCAAGTCCCTCGACAAAGTAGACATTCTCAAATTGAAGAAGAACCACGCTTCCGGAAGACAGATATAATTATAATTTATGTAACATGGTTCATAATTTTTGAGAATGAGAAAAATTCTACAGGAGTACGACAATGACAGTGACAGTGACAATGACAAAAGGATCAGAAAATGTAAAATTGGTTTATGAAACCTAGACATTATCTCCAGGATGGGGTTTTTTGTTGGTTTGGTTTCAGTTTAATGGAAAAAGGCGTAACAGGTTCTGAAAATTAAGGGATTTATATGAGCAATCCATAGTCAGCTTTTTTAAATGTTGTATTTCATCTTGGATCACCCAAGAATATTGAAGCGAATTTAGAAACAGATAATTATGTTGACGCCTAGAGTAACTTCAAATGAACTCTCCTGTTAGGAATCCAGCAGGAGAGTGAAGATAAGGATATTGACTATTATCATGTACATTTACGTTAGATTATAGATGTACAATCTCATTATCTGCATGTGCATATACTTACAGTTATATTCAGTCCATCCAATAGTTTGGTTTACAAGATCATAGAGGACCAGCTTATTTGAAAGAACCAAATCTGTAAACATCCATTGAAATGAAATTAGACTAAAGCACCATAAGGCTATCAAATGATATGTGCATCAGTCCAAAAAAATAAAACAAAACATAATGACTGAAAAATATTGTATAGGCTTTTTCCAAAAGGTAAAATTTATTAACCATTACTAGTTAATGGACCTTTTTGTTAATTGTTTTATTGTGCATGAATGATCCTCTCTTCCATATAAAGGGTCATCTCCCTTCATTGTAAGATATCTCAAGCCAACTCTTTATCAAATAAAAAGCTTGTTTCTTATCTCTATAAATTTTCTAAAAGTTTTTCCTTGTTCTTCCAGTCTTGATAACTGCAATAATACCAAGATGAATAATAAGAGCAAGATCTAAGTAGTATCAAAGTATGCTCTGCAGTTGCCTTTTTAAGGATCAACTGCATCAGAAAAAATGGCACTACTGATCATAAGATCCGATATGGAGGTTTAATAATTTTTGTAATACCAAAAGCCAGGCCCTGTGTTGTTGCCCAAGAGGGTTTGTTGCGGGTTAGAATACCTTGTATCACATAAGGTTGTCTAACCTCCACTTTATTGATATAAGAGTCATGTTGTCATCTTGATCTTACTAAAGCACCATAAGGCTATCAAATGATATGTGCATCAGTCCAAAAAAATGAAACAAAAACAAAATTACATAATGACTGAAAAATATTGTATAGGTTTTTTCCAAAAGGTACATAAAATTTATTAACTATTACTAAATAAGTGCCAAGAATTTTTATGAAGATGACAGCAACCATAATTGTTGTAAGTGGTTCTACAAACGAATGTTAAAATTTATACACTACAATGTTGCTTCTGTTCTGTTCTTTTTAATGAAATAAAAATTTGCTCATTTTTTAATAGCCTAATAAGCAACACCTTAAACCATAGTTGACAAAGTGGATGCTCTCCTAAATCCAAACAGATACCCAGTTGAAAGTGATCCGGAAGTAACATGGAGCGATTCAGAAAACCAGAGAGATATTAAGCAGTTTGGTAAAACAATAAAGTATCATCAATGTTGGCTCTAGGTACACAATAGTAGTTGCTAAAGAAATTGGAAAGTTATAAGCCAACACAAGTTTTAAGGTTAAAGTGCCATCTGAATTAAAGAGAGAAGGGCCTGAAAAATTCATAAAATGGAAAAAGAAGAGAACAGCAATAAACAATTTGATATCAGAATTAAAAGAAGTAGCTGGAAAAATCACATGTATACCTCCTAAAAGAGTAATGTTCTGTTTATCCTGGGATTGCATTCCGCTATTTTGAAAACCAAGACACATCAAGTCTTCCTGTCAAAAAATGTAGCAAATTAATGGTCTTGATTTATTAATATTGTAGAGACTAAGGGCATAACTCTGATGATAGGGGGAACACAGAGGGATGGAGGAAAGATTTTGCAAGAAAAGAAATTCACCAACAAGAAATACTAGAAAAACATTGGTAATGTATTTGCCAACATAACTTGAACTTATTCTCTCTTTCATGCTGTTGGTAGTGAGAAACTTCAAACATATAATTTACCCAGCACAACCTTAATGCTAATCTGTGAATTACCATTTGCAAAATTTTTCCAGTCTTATGCTGAAAGCCCTCTTGCATATTTTTAACCTAACTCGCATGGACACATCACACGGATATGACATAACACAAAGCGACGAGTGATTTTTTTAGAAAGTAGGAGAGAGTCACAGTGAAACATCAATTTAAATTCTTTAAAATCATAAGTTCATATATTATATCTTTATTTTTATACTTTTTGTGGAAAAATTATAATTTTCCTAACTTAGCAAAATTCAGTATAGTTACATAATATTACATAATCTTTATAATTGCTTATTTTTAAATAGTTATTGCAATCCCTGATTTCTAAGCATTGGATTTTTTATGCATCTTTTATTTTTTGATAACTTATTTTGCTGATTGAGTTCAGCTATATAAACTCTTGTAATAAAGATAGTTAATCAATACAATTCATATGTTCAATCTTCTATTTTCTGTCACTTTTTAATATAGGACATGTGAACACTTGCCCAAGGAATGTCCCTAAAGTATCATTAGAAATTTTAAAAATATATAATACATAGAACACGGCATGTGGGACCAATGTCATGGAGCGTCGAAGGATTGTCAGTATCTGACAAGACATATGTTGGACATGGACACACTTTTCTAGTAAAAATGTCTGTGCATCATAGTTTTTAACAGCCCATAAAAATTAAAGAAAGACGATGCGAAGAGCAGACATAGGTATCGGATCCTTTATTTTGTTGATTCATTTGCTACATCAATCTCTACAGTACTACATCAATCTCTACAGTAGGGATGTTAAAGAGCCGGTTGTATAGAATCAAGTGGAGGTGATAAGATATTAGAAAGAGCCCAAGATAAAGGATTGGAGGTCTAATGGGAGGAAGTTCCAGCGGACGTTTATAGCAGGGTGATTAAGAATACCAATAAAAGAAGATGCATCAGATTAGATGTTCCCAAAACCCTGAACAAGCTATCTGAATATACTTTCTACATTCCATCGGAAAATAGTGTAAGATCATAGGAGAAACTTAATACCCATTCATTTTTGTGCCTAAGTAAACCGGAGATTCAACAGTAAAAGACTTTTCTTACAAGTTGACACTGCATCTGAACCTACTAAATCCATTAGATCTGTCAAACGTGCAGAAATTAGGCAACAATTAGATGCCATCCTAATATTTCTCCATAATCACTAAAATACAAAACTGTTGCTTTCGCAAAAGCTAAAGAAAACTAAAATAGTCAACTGACACACTACTGCTTTCTAACAAGGATGGGCTTGAAGATTACTTATCTAAGGACCCAAGAGACGGCACACAGTTATCGAGGCATTTCTAGTGCTGCTATTCTTTTATGAATCAATAGACAATAATTATACCGAATTATGCTTCCCCTATAGTAGAGGACTTGGTACACTTGAAGTGCCTTAGAAGTTATTCATTGGAGTTTAGAGGAAGTCAATCCGTAACTTTTATTTCTGTTCATATAAATAGATCACCAAGTGATACCATGAGAACGCATATTTGATGATACATGGGCTACTTCAAAAAATTTGACTCAAGACTCATAAGTGAAAAGGGTAGCAACAATTGATTACAGAAACAGAAATGTTTTCTGAAAGCCAAATTTATCTCTAATTACCAATTTGAACAATTAATTAGTAATGCAAGTAGCAATATTGTTCTATCAAATCTCTACAAACTTCTATCGACCGAGAAAGAGGGCATTTTTTAATACTAAACATTCATGTGTGTCAGTGAAGGCTTCTTAATTAAACCTAATATCTCAAATTTTATGTGACGGTGCAGGCTTCTTATCACAGGTAGCAGCATTCAGGATCAGGAAATTTCTCTTATGTTGTATTATCATGCTATTTCGTTGTGAAAAGGTTTCTCTTTTCATTTAGTTATCATGGTGCTGATAATTAATTGAAGCAACCATCCCTGAATTGTAGTAATCACAGGTGTACATCCTAAGCCTCATGATTGGGGGACCAATACTGATGCTAGAAAGACCCTAGAGAGGAAACAGAAGTGCTGTCGGAATTATGGAGCCCATATTGATAACAAAGTGATTATGCACGACATGAGATTCTAGCTTCAAATGAAATCCAAAATCCATACTTTTAACAGCTCGTAATATCTTTCTCATAATGAAACCCAACACTTTAACTGAGAATAAAACAGAAGTTTCAACAACAAAAAACATGATTAGAGCAATAAAGGATAGCGCAAAACAACCATGCTAAATAACAGAATGTACTTACAAAAGGGAACAGATATTCGCCAGGATAAACCTTCAGATGAAGCGAGTTTTCAAAATGAAAAGTGACAGGAGGAAACGCATCATCAACGCTGCAGAAGATAGGAACAAAAGTTAAACCATGTTAATCACCTGGTTTCCTAGTCAGAGTAAAGATACCTCAAATGACCAAATCTATGGTCATAGGAAGTAAAATGGAAGGGAAATGCCAAATCAGAGTTAAAGGAATGCATTCTCTTAAACGAAACCAGTAAAATGTTAAATGCAATTTTCCAGCTGTCAAAAGAAGTAATAAGTACCTTCTTATCTAAATTCTTGTTATACAAAATCTAGTCTAGTGAACAAGTAACATAATAACAATTTCAAGTTACTCAACATCCTATTCAACATTAAACAAAAATATTTGCTGTAAATAAATTGAGTTGAATTATTGATTTTGTTATTGACTACAAATGTCAAAAACATGACAATACTCTACTTATATCTCAGCCGTGTTAAGGAACGAATTTAGGAGGAATACTTTTTTCTCTTTTCATTTCAGTTTCCCATGATAGCATAAGACAGTGAAGCTGCCAGATTTAAAAACTAAGTAAAAAAAGTAAAAGTATTGACAACTATTGTATAAAATTGTGCAGAAATGAGATCGGTTAGTCACGGACTATTCCCAAAATTGTCCATCCAGAAAAGACCTGATAAATCCAGGACTTATGACATTCAATTTCCTCAAAGCCAAGCTTTTTAATGCTTAACAAGTTCGTCCTTAGAGCTTCTTGGAATTTAATAAGCCAATCAAACAAGCAAGTTGCAGAAAGGCCCTGTAATACTATAACACTCTCCTTCCACCTTCGAACACCAAATATCTTCCCTGTTGCAGTGAAGTCTATGGTAGTAGAGTGTAGCCGAACCAAGAAGCATCTAATACGGTGAAATTTGCAGAAAACCAGGCAGAAACTTGAGAACAATCAGTAAGTTGCTTACAAGCAGTGACTTGATAACAAGAAGTTGGTTTACGAAAGGGAAAATTCAAGAGATGGAAAAGCTGTAACAATTAAGAGCTTATTTGGTACAACTTAAAAGGCAATTAAAATCAATTTTTTGACAGTTATTTCACTATTCCAACCGTCATTTTTGAATTCTTTTCTCACAGATAGGACCCACTTCAATTACCAAAATCTCTACCAAACAAGTACTAAAAAAGCAATAAAGAAAGAAAAAAGGACAATAGTAAGAATGACTGTAGGGATACTGTTGACACTAGTTTTAGTGCAGAACACTTTGTGAGTTTGCATACTTAAACGGGCTATGAGCAACATGTTTAATGCTTCTACTGTAAGTGTAAAGTCCCAAAAATTTTAATAGAGTGGAATTAATTATTTTATATACTATATTCTTAATATTTTGGAAAGTTGGAGACTAAAGTAATATATGAGTTAATTCAAATTTTTAGGCCAAATATTTAGATTTTGATACGGCGAAGATAAATATATCAATATTGGGCTCGTTGGATAGCTCGTAATTAATCATGTATATTAGGCTCGAGAAAAAGTCAAATTGGATAAGTTATCTCCAAGATATCACAGTTTGAAGTAGTAGTTGGAAACTAATTTCTCGATTCAATTAAAGCTTTGGAAGCAAATGGGGTTGTGCCACGTATATGGAAAGTGCCACGTGCATGGAAATATTTTATTCTTGAATTTAGGGTTGTATAGGTTAGTGGACACGTGTTGGGTTGTTGGGAAAAAAGTTTTCTTTTTTTTTTTCTTTTTTTTTTTATTTGGGATAATGATTGTAGTACTTTTGGTATTGTAAAACACGGAACTTGTGGATAAATTTTACCATAAATTAATATTCCTTTTCAATTTAATTATTGTACAAGAAATTTTTATTATTTTGCACAACGGAACTTATAAATATGCTCTGCAGATAAGTAGAAAATAAAGACTTGGGAGCTTGATTTTGGTATTGCCTTTCAAATTTATTTGATTTAACAAGGTAGGATAACGAGGTGCACTTGTTTTATCCTGTTTAAATTGTGTATTTTCATGTTGTTGAATTATGCTTATAAAAGTTTAAAGATATGATATGTATGTTATGACCATTCAGTACCAAAGATATTATGTTTATTGAGCTCTTACCGATTTCTAAAGATATGATCACGGTATGATAATTTTTACGCATTATTTAAATATTTTTATTCGGGATTGCATTATGATTTTTCGTGTTCTACTAAATATTCCCACGTACTCAACATTTTCCCCCCACTCCTCACAAATTAGAATAGGTCGTTAGTTGGCGGGCGATGAAGTGCAGTCAAGATGCCAAAACTTATGGAATTCAATAAAAATAATATGAAGTAACGTGACTGTGGATCTTTATTTTTTAGCGTTATTTTAATTTAATTTCCATGTGAAATTTATTATTTAGGATTTGAGACATGTTTCAATTGATTATGTTTCCTATATGTTTTAATTATTATTGGTGGAACGTAATTTTTCATATTGAGATGTTTGATAAATTTATTTAACTATTTTTTTTTATTTTTTTTTAAGTAATCAAACATTTTATTAATCAAAAGGTAATACACAGGAAAACTTTTAGTAACGATTTATATTTAATAATTTGGGTCGTTACAGTAAGACCTTGGCAAATTTTTCATTTTCTCATGTCAGCATTCTTCAATAAACATGAAAATGTAAATGCAGATCATCGTCTCTAGTATTCGTACCACCTACAATTGAGCTGAGTAATACTGTACAGAGGTAAGAAAATATATTGATAGGAAAATCAAATTTATTACAAATATTAAGTTCTTTTGCCACCTGATCATGATGATTATCAGTCATTCCTTTCATTTTTTTTCCTCCCTTTACTTCACACGGTATTCCATTCGGAAGCAATATTAATATTTTTTCAAGTTTAGTGAGCATTTTCAGTGTGTTTGCCAATTAAAAATAGCTCAAATTGTAAATAGAAGAAAAACTATGTTACAAGTTTAAAAGGTAAAAGACTGCGCCATTTTTTATGAAAGATAATTTAATCTGTAGAAGAAAACCAGGTAAATGGATCAAGGAGTCCTCTAATGTATATAGGAAAACAAAAATCAAACCATCCATGCAGTGCATCTGAAGGAACTAAATACCTAAAAGATCTAGCAGCTTTTGCTCTTTAGGATTAGAAAATCACCCAAAAGCCATATAGAACCAAGGAAGATAATACTCCTAAAAGACTTAGTGGATAGAACTAGAGATTTGAAAGAATAAAAGATATAGGTCAACAAACCAGGCCTATTAAAGTTCAGAGTTGAAGATACATAAAATCTAATGTTTAAAAGTGCAAGAGAATTATTCAATGATGCCAGGTTCATCACTTCTAGATCACTAAGATTGAGAGAACTGTAAAATCTAAGATATGGATATTCTTATTCACTACAAAAATTATAAACAGGCAAATCAATTAGGGAGATGTTACACATACATAAGGGGGTACACCCGGGTTTGCACCCCCTCACATGGAGGGAGGCCCGCGCACAATAAATACGGTGTATGTACAAATAGCATTTTCCAATCAATTAAGTTCAAATTATCTAGGAGAGCATCAACAGATAACCACCCATACCTTCCTGAATAATCAAAGCAAGTGTATATGTCATGAAGAGTTCGCAGTTTCAAATCCATCTGCCAGGAGAGTATCTAACAACCATGAAACACAAAATTGGAGTTCACTATCATTAATTAAAGCAATAAAGTTCATTTCATTGAAACAATAAAACACAAGATACCTTTTTCACTAATGGTACATAAATCACCTCAGGAAGATATGCCAAGGTGGTACCACTATCAATTATTGCCCCATTATTGTCCCCGGCCGTATATATATCTGTTGTAAGATTCAGATAATCCAGACCAACTTGAACTGCAGTCATATTGACATTGTAATGGGGCCTACAAGTTTTATAACAAATTTAGTTTAAGAGCTTGATTTTAAAACTAAGACTAAGTGATCTAAAAGAATAGTAAAAATGCTGAATGTAAAAAGTCATTTCGTAGAGAAACTGGTGCAATAAATTAGAATGGAAAAAGGGACCTACAAAATAAAACCAACTTTTTGAAAGACAGCAAACTCAGTGAATTTGAAATAGTGTTATTTAATTCTGTCAGAAGTTCTAAGTAGCCTAAAAGAGGAATTATCATAGTTTCCTAAGTTTTCTCCTACTAGTCCTATTAAGATGAGGAAAATTCAAGCAGCTCATAGAGGTTTATCTGAATACAGGTTATCGCATGATTCTCTGACAATTGGATTCCCTGGAGACGGTTTCCAATTTTCAATGCCCTTAAATATTATCCTTTCCTTTATTCTGTTTTTTGATATGTTTTCTATTTCCTATTTAGACCACCTGATCTTATATTTATCTCCTAAAGAATTTTGTTTCAACTACAAATTTCCCATAGGAACAATTTTCCTCCAAATACATAAACACTGATGTACCAAGAACTTAACCAAATAATGAAAGGCAGGCTATCAGCAATCCGATCCGTAGATTAATCATTGCAAGATGCTTGTATTTAATAATTTCCTTATACTTTCTTCACAAGTTTCTTCAAAATGCATCCTTGAATTCTCAACACTGAGTGCCCATTTTGAAGAGAGTTTTTTCTCCACTCTTCACCTCTATCTGGTTTTTTCAAATTCAAATGGTAACATTACAGAAATATAGAAAATATCATTTACCTATGTGGTACTCCAAGCATTGGCATGACGAAGGAATAGCATTGAAAAGGCATTCAATAATCACAAGAAATGTTGAAACCAAATATGACCATTAAAAAAAGTTAAACAAACAGATCTAGTATTCCTGAGTCCATTTAACGTTGGTTATATAGCCCTTGCTGTATTTCTCTATGCAATAAACAAGGAAAATTTCGAATTGAAGCAAAAAAAAATAAAGTAACTGAAAGTTAAATCCATGGACTTCCAGGAGACAGAGTATAGAATTAGAATCAAAAGAAAGATCCCACATACTGATTTGGTACCAGTGGCGTTGTGTTCACTTGTGGTTGAACAACATGCCCAATGGCAAAGATGCCTCCACCATTCACGCCATCTAAACAATGTGCAAACATCTTTCTTACTCTTCCAGAAGATGCTAGCTGTGAAATCATGGATGAATTTGTTTTTCCAAAACCAAGTATTCCATCAAGCGCATCATCAGATGATCCTAGATCCTTAGATCTGGCACCACATCTGCCCGAAAACATTACACGGTGATTGCTGAAATAGCATAATATATATATTTTCTAAATGATCAGAGAATGCTGAATGGTCTAAGAAAGATGAGAATTTTGCCATTGCTCTATGGATCATGTACTGACAGGCAGTGTTCTAAAAGGCGTAATGCGTGGCAATGCGTGGAGACCAAGTTATGGGTTACGCGAGCTTAGGCGTAAAAAAGGTAAAAAGGCATTTTCTTATTATAATATTATTTTAATTTTTTAAAAATCAAAAAATTATTTAATAATTAAAAATAATACTTACTAAACATTTAAAAGAAATTTATAGGAACGTTATACATTTTTTCAAAGTTTTCAACAAAAATGCAAGTTTCAAATTTAAATACAAAATAGTAAATAAATAGCATAGAAACTTAAATCTTATTTAACTCTTTATCGGACTCCAATTCAATATCCTCTACTTCATCCTCTGTCTTCCGATACAAGTGATTGTTTTTAATTAGGGCAAAATAAAGAAATTAGCCATTGATAGTTTTTAACACCACAAAATTAAAAAATAAAAAAATGGATGATAATGCACGTCAATGCGCTCATAATTGCGCCTTAGCGGTCAACGATTGCTGTTAACCGTCAAATAAGGCAGTGGCTTGGCGTTTTGGCCGAGCATCACACTTAGGCGCGCTTTGACGCCGCCTTTTAGAACACTGTTCATAACAAATAAGGTCAAAACTGAATGTGGATTTTTATTTTTCAATTTTTGAATTAAATCTTTCATTTGGAATTTTAAATCTGTGTTGAACCACTTGATCTAAAAGCTTCAATACATGATCTAAAAGATTGAATGACAAAGTCTCGTGTATATTATTCAAATAGCGTCTTCAAAATGTCCCCTCACGTGTAGGCAAGATTTATTTTTACTCATAAAAGTTTTACGCTTGCACAATCTGATTTCGAGCGTAGGTCTTCTCCCAAAAAAAATAAAATCTTAGCCCCCGTTTGATGGCCATTACCATGTAAAAATGATGTTTTGAATAGTGATATTTTTTGGAGAATATGTGATTAAAAAGTGGGAAAACGCTATGGGTTTACGTGTAAAATTATTTTATTGAGAGAACGTGTGGTTGAAAATGAGTTTTTGAAGAATGAGACTCAAATATGGGCTTAATAAGACTTTGTAACCTGATGTTTACAACACGTACCGAGAAAGTAACAGATGCACTCTCATACTTCTGTACAAAGTTCCTTTGCTAGGAATACATGGTGGAGATTGTTTGGACTTTTGGTGAGTAAGGTAATCTAAATTAGCTCAACCCTTTCTTACTTAGCTTTTTGACTCGTATTTTGTTCATAAACGCCATAAAGTATGGAAAGTGCCAAACATTGGGAACTAACCGGGAAAGAGTTAAAAACAAGAACGAGGAAAAGTGGGAACCACTTAATAGGAGTCCTACCTGCATTTCTGGCTGTTAAACTTTACTTGAAGTTTTGCAGGTTAAACAGTAAAGAGACTATAGAACATAAAGCAGGGCAGATGCTTGCAGTTTCTAGCACTCAGATTGCCTCATGGTGCTTTTAGCCCTTCCATACCAATTGTATAAAGGATAATCATTAGGCTGACTCCAATTATCCACACGATAAAGACCATCAAAAATTCTTGTTAGGCATAGAAGGTGCCATTATCAGAACTCTTTGAAATTTTAAATATTGTTAGCATTAGATTTGTAACATACCCAAAAATAACACTTCCATTTGCCAATTTGGTTTGAAGATCACCAGAGACTCGATCATACTGGACAATGTCTTCTACAAAATAGCCCATGCTATAGCTCCCGTCACCATAACCCTCAGTGTACAAACAAGATGAATTTGCACTGCAACCTGAAAACGAGCTTCTCGATATCTCCTTGCAGAATTCTCGATCACATGTTACCAGTTTCCCAGTAAGAGAGTCATTTGGATCATAAAGGGTGAGTTCTATCTGTCAAAACATGAAAACGAATCTGGTAAATAAAAAAATTAAAAGTAAGGCGTATAGAGCCTGTCATTCTCTTGAAATGCACTAAAGCTCATTGAAAGTACGAAAGAAATGTAGCAAAAAAGAAGATTGGGATCATACGCCATGGTAGCCCCTTTTGGGGCATTCGTGGCATTGGATGCAATTAACCCATGTTATGTCACTCCCTGTATCAACTTGCACATAGTAATCCTTGGGGGGTGTTCCAATACCTATTTTAGCATAGTAGAGTCTGCAACATGGACGAGAACACAGAATGAGCACAACTGCAACACTTACATATGAAATTCACGATTTTATTCAAGTGCATACACTTTCTTCTGAAAATTCTAAAGGACATAATGTCTTTGTTCAGTGCTTCTAAATTAGGATCGAAAGTTCTTTAAACTCATTTGACTGACATATATAAAAAAATGCAGAACCAAAAAATTATTCAAGTTCACTACTGTTTGTCAGCATTAAACGACGTCAATCGAAGCAATAATTTCTCTATACATTTGCAGTGATGAAATTAACTGATATATGTTTTCACATATGTCACAGTGTGAGGGATGAGGAAATAGCATAATGCGCATGCATAGATATCTCTATATTCTTTATTATTGGGAAATGTAAATATGAATGTTGAGTAAGTGTATGTATGTCAATGCGCAGAATTATAGATGAAATAAACACAATAAAAGAGCTTAATATAACAAGCAAACTAAAGTGAAGATACTGAGAAGATTGCATAAACGTGCCTTCAGTGGTGCTAATTACAACATATGGGAGCAATCATAGAACCTCTCTTTCTAACAAAAAAATACAATTTCACAGAACAGAACAGCCAAATTGAAGAGCTTCACTCAGTTGGCCTTTCTACACGGACCCAAGAAGCAGTCTTTTACAATTAGTTCACAATGTAAAGCAGTAGGCTATATCATTTCCTACAAGTACGTTTTAAATATCAATATGTAGATATGCATGTTCAAATACTTAAGCAAACTACAGCGCTACTTCAAAACAGATTATATGTCATTCAGTAAACACGCACCACCATTGTATCTGCGTGCACAAATACGTTTATATAATTTCTAAATCTAATTTGATTTTTATCCTTTTTACTGCTTACATCCAATTTTCAATCTTGAACAAGAATATGATACACTAAATTATTCGGTTGGGTTTCAAAGTTGCTATTCCATAAAAACAATTATCTAACAGTAGCTCGATAAAAGAATGCATCTACTGTATTCAATTATCGTGATTTTCAAATTCATAATCCAAACCAAAATTGCCGCATGGTCCTATGATACAAAACTTCTAGACCTAATATGTTTTAATTCCTATTGCTGATTAAATCCAATTTTCGATTTTGTACAAGTTTCTATTCCATAAAAATAGTTTTCCAATCATAAACTCATCAGATTTTCTCCATAACCGATATATTTGAATTCACAATCAAAACCAAACACGATCGCAAAATAAATACATTAGATTGAAATAAAAAACAGAAAATCCCACCCAACGGCGTCGGGACGGCCTGTTCCGCCAAGAGGGAGATCAACGCCGGCGAGGATATTGAGATGACGTACATCGTGAGCTCTAAGAGCACTAAGAGTCCTCTCCGAACCGGCGAATTTGTAACTAACTTTGAATACTCCTGCTCCGCTGCCATTAACCAACACCACCGTGTAATCCAAATTGAGCAGTAGAAGCAGAAAGCAGAAGAAGAAGAAGCGTGAGTCCATTGTATGATTTGGAAGATTTATTAATTATTGTTTCATTTATTGGAAATAATCTTCTGAATGAATATATTCCTTGTTACATATAAGGTATGATAATTTCAAGTCGTCGGCTGGCCTTCTAATTTGGTCCTTTTTTGGGTTGTTTGTCATCAATTTTATTAAATAGAGCTCGATTTTGACTTGACTCAATTCATTGTACATAAAAATGTTTATGAGAATACATAGATCTTAAAATGGAGTATTTTTCTCAATCAACAAGATGGAATTGCATTTTTATAAATTCTCTCTAAGAATAAATAATTATATCAATAGGAATTTTCATAAAGAGAGGTCGAGAGATAATCCTTAAACTTTGATCTTCAATCATGAATCGAATGATTTTTTGGCTCGTTTGACGCTCGATTCAACTGATCTTTCACAAGGGTCAAGTAGCCCCCTGGACGAGTTTGGGGAAAATTGTTAGAGGGATAAATAAATGAGTTGATTCGTAGGCGACTTGACTCATTCCATGAAGTCCACGAGCCAAAGAACTGAGTCGAGTCTATAATTTAAATACGAACCAACGAACTCGCCAGCTAGGCCTGTTGCCACCCTCGCAAAAAGGGAGAAACGTTCTGTGAAATTACTTAATTGAGAATCCTTTGAAAAAAACAAAAAAAAAGTCTAAAACTTTCCAAGGCCCCAAAAAAAGAGGCTAAAATTTTGATAGAATGGAATATATGCAAGGATTGTGCTCTACACCACGTGGGAAAGAACTGCATTCCCAAAACAAAGGGACCTTTGTTTTTTCACTTTCATAGACAAATTCTTTAACTAAAAATTCATAAAATGTTCTAATAACAATATTTGTTAAGATTCTAAAACTAAAAAGGTAGCTCGACCAACTCTTGAACTAACGTGGTGAGCAGCTAGTACAAGTTTTACAAGCAACGCTGCTCAAATCATCTAGGAGAAAAGTGATTTTGAGAATTGATATTTTGACCGTTAGGAGAAAAGTGGGGTCCACCTGTAAGAGAAGAAGTCAAATATAATGGCTGAAATAGTGAAATAATGGTCAAAAAATCAATTTTTTGGGAGGAAAATTTGTCCCAAACAGGCCCCTAAACTCACCTAATTTGACGAGTTGGGCAAGTTGGCACCCTATATGATTTAACCATTGACTAGTTTGGAGGAAAGGAGATTTTGGGTCTACGAAAAGTATTCTGAAATTGAAAGGTTATTATGATAAATGGCTTTGGGCTTCAATTCATTATGGGAAAAGGGATTAGGCTCAGTGCCTACTTCTAAAAGATACTGAAATTTACTCTTTATTTTTATAATTAATGATATTTACCTAGACTAAACGTAGTGTTAATAATATGGATAATTCTGTTTGTACACAATTATTTTCATAGAACAAAAACAGAAACCCCCAGACCCCATAAAAAATGATAAAAAAAAAATCTCGACCCTCCCAATGTGTGAGTATTCTGTAGGAGGTATGTCAAATGGGGTTTTGGATGCCCAATATCTTCTAATAATATATATATCCTAATCTATTAACAAAAGTTTGATACCTGATTAGGACCGCCAATGAAAAAACAACTAACAATGAAATTTAATGTCTTTCGAAATTGAGAGATCTCAAATTTTTCAAACAAATTTGAATTTGGCAAATAATAAAAATAATAATAAAGAGAGCAAAATAATAAATTGGATTATTACATTTTAAAATTTATCACTGCCTTGGTTTGTAATTTCATATATAGAAGGTAAAGACATATATTAGTAGTAACTGAATATTCTTTTATATATATACTATTTTTGTTATAAAAATGATTAAAATCCTCCAAAAC